TCTATTTGCTTACGACCATTTTTATGCTCAAGCCATCCACCTCCAGCTCCCTTATTGACTTAACTACACTTAAAGTTATTATTTGCGCTTAAGTGTATTTGCTTTTATTTACATTTCGGTAATGCCTCGAACGTTAATTCCACACCAGCGCTAATAAATAAATCTCAGCGCTTCCTACTCACATAAATATTATCACACTCTATCCTCCACACCACCTATCTACCAGCGTACCAATAACCCTCTGTGAAATTTTACTTCCTACTTGCTTCTTGTTCACCACACCCTCGCACAAACGCCCAACGCAGCGCGTAATAATACATTACTTCATAACTATTATGCTCGACAGTCACTTGCCTCCTCCCTCCCCCCATCCACTTTCCACTCTTATAATCTTTGTCTGCCGGTATCAAGCTCTTCATTGCCGCTCATTGCCGAAAAGTAAAACAATAGTCATAAACACATTAAATTAAATTGCTTTTCAATTTTCTGCCGCCAACATCAACATAGAAATACACGCTTTCTCCTCATTGTTGTTGTCATTTCAATTTCCCTTTCCGCTAACCTCACAATTGTTGTTACTTTGCCAGTTAACAAAGTCATACATTAGTCGCGTATAGTGGATTTGAAAAGTATTCGTACCACTTTCGCGCTGCACACAACAAAAACTGTCGAAATAGTGATTTACATGCTCGCACAATTGTTGCTGTTTTTGTTATTGTCGAATCTAATTTATTTGTAGGTTTTAACGCTTAACTACTATTTAGTTATACGTTGATATATTTTTAATGCATCTAGACATATACATAAGTATATTGTGTATACATACATACATATTTTTGTAAACATGTATTTTTATATGTTTATAGTTATATTTATTTATTGTCTTGTGTAATCCATTAAAAATTTCGCTTTTGTTGGCATTTCTGTTGGCCATAAATTGTGTTTCCTCATTGCTTTCCCGCTACAAGGATATTTTATACTATCCTGCCTCTGCTTTGTGGCAGACATCACCTCCATTTTTTGTTTGTTGTTATTGAGTTGCAGTTAACCTTTCATATCCTCATTTATTATATTATTTTTGCAACAATAGCGACGCAGCAGCAGCGCTATTTGAAGTGGAGTTTATTAAACAGCAATAACACGCTAAAAAATACACGCAAAAATATGAGTTGCACTCGAAGTAGCAGCATGAGAACCCGCAGTCAAAGAGCATACTTGGCGCAGAAGGCAAAAAATTGCAATAAAAGAAAGGAAAAGGTGCAGCTACAAAAAAAAAAAAACAAATATACACACATCTGTGCATTGTCTAAGGCCCCTCAGCTGTCTGCTGTTATTACTTTTCGGTTGGCGCGCTCAACAGCGTTCTTCAATTCTTCACATATCCTTTTCACTTTCCGCACTTCGATCTCAAATCACTTTTTGCAGCAAATATTTATTTTTATTATATATTGTAGTTTTACCGTTGCTGGTTATCTCTTTGCGTTGCTATTATGTTTGGCGTATAGAAATCACTTAATCTATTGTAACTTCCTTTCATCAACCACCACTACAATGCTATGGATAATATCCTCGCACAATAGCACACACAGTCAACAGTTCTACAATGCTTTGTCATCGTATGTCAACAGCCACGCCTTCAATGTGTCCATAACGGTTCGCCGTTACTTGTTTTAGTTTATTTACATTGCGTTGCATATTAACCACTCTGCAGTCTCTCCGCTTTATGGTGTATCTAGTCATAACCGTCTTCAAGTAGGCACAATCAGTTTATCTTTCTGCATCTCGAAAGCGCAAACGTCCATTAATCGAATTTATTGTTTTACTTTCGTTCGAGTGTCTTGTTTTTTTTTTTTTTTTTGCATAGCTTTTCCTTTTACTAATTGTTTCTCAAATAAGTGCTTTACTTAGTTTAGCCTGTATCCCTTAATTTCGTTGTGCAAATTAGACTGACTTCCAGAGCGTTTACGTTTGCGTCAATATTCATTTGTTGCTTGTTTACATGAGGCAAACTCGCCATGCAAACAATCAGCTTCGTAGTTTCCTGCCCTTTCAGGGCACTGCTCGGCTTTTATTCGAGCGGCCTTTTAATTGACAATACAGTGAATTTACACTGCACTTATTCAAGCGTGTTTTGCTTTGATTTTTGCTGTCATTTGCCAAAATGCGCAGAAAATTTCTTTAATCATTTTTGATTATGCTTTTAACTGATTGTTAGGAATATATGAACTAGTGGAACTTTTATGTAAATAAAGTAATTATTCAGAAATTTTTACTTAACCTATTTAATATAGAACTTTGAAGCTAGAAGTTAGTACTTTCGAATTAATATTTTCTTAGTTAGCTAATGCGCCTAGAGTTATACACTGCTTCAATATTAATTTAAGAGGATTATAAGTCAATTGCAATGTTTCTATCAATTGGATTTTTCGGGACCAAATTATATATTCCTTTTACATAAGTTAGGTAAGGTAATATCGGATAAAAAGTAATTTAATGTGTCAATTATGCATTACAATTTAGAAAATATTCGTATATGACTCTATGAGCATTAAAGTTGGAAAAAACAGATGTAAAAAGAGAGATCGCTGGTATGTAAAATTTATCAATGGGATGCCTTCAATATATCTTTACCATGTGAGCTCACGATCAACTCATTGACAAATCACACAAATCAATGAAAACAATAATAATAAAACGATGAAAGATCGCTTCGAATTACTAACAAATTCACCATTTTCTTTAAATCTAGCTTTTAGCGACATTTTGCTGCTATTAGACCTCACAAGAGTGGTCGTTAAAACTAGAGAAGATTGCCACAAATTTTGAAGCAAAATACCAATTGTACTCCAAAAATGATATCGAATAGTTGGAAGATCTTTATAATCTGTGTATCGACCATTATGACAAATATATTGAACAATAAAATCATCGGTTCCTAAATTATTTGTGAAATTTTATGTTGCAATGCCAAAGTTTTTGTTGGGTTAAATATATGTACACGACACTGAAATGGTTTGCTGCATCCTAAAAATTATAAACAAACTTTTAATTTACGAGTTGGTTAAGGGGCCAAAACATATTGAATTGATATGGTTGGAAAGGAAATTTTTTCGATTTAGTTTGCTTCTCAAATTTTGAGATATTGTGCTTTATGTAAAGTTTTGAGATTCTTTATAGCAAAGGAAAAAACAAAATGCAGTTTCTTCAGCTGTGTTTACTCCTCTACGGCTATATTTTCAAGATACGTTGAATGAATCATAAAACATACCGAATTATACACGAATTGACGGCATAGACATCATCTTCTAATAAATCTCTTAATTCTTTCTACCTTTAGCAGTGATTTATAGTGCACCTTTAGCAGTGTTTTTGCATTCATCACAAATCATTTTGTTTTTAAATCTTATTAGGGCCAATCACTCACTCGGAATCAGAATTATAATTTTTGGGCATATATACATATGTATGTATATGCTAAGCCAAACATTTTCTTATAATTTTAATGCCATAACCCTTAAAATAAATATTAGCTTAGTAATAAAAAATTCTTTAGTGTAATTAAGAAGAATTCTAAAATTTTAACATATTTGATAATCTAGCTTGCGACTTTGTGACCTTTCACTCAATAAAATCTGCTTCGATCTCGAATCTCGAGCAAGGAGCAGCTATTGCGCTACATATTGTATCCAAAATCGTCAGCACCACTGAAATACGATGACCGGTCACATACACACGTTACCGTTAATAAAGCAATGAACGCCCGTAATCTATGTGTAATCGCCTTTGATGGACACCTGAGCGTATTTCGTATTATTCGCCAAATTATATAGCGCGTATGTCAATAAACGCATTAGTCTATGCCACAACACACACATATATAACATTGTAGCCACTCCTTATACGGCTTTAATGTAGAAATCACCATTTTTGTACAGCTCACATACCCAAACACAAACATATGTATTTACAAACCTATATATTATATAAAGGTAGTATTTAGATTCGAGCGCATACTCATATGACTTTAAGCATATGTTTCTTAGCGACTGTGGGAAATTGCCAGAATTTTGTGAGACGTTTTTTGTGCTTTTTTACATTCGCTACTTAGCGCAAAAATCGTACACACACATACCACACCCAGCTAGCCTTATTCTTATTGATTATCAATTTGGGAATATGTTATGTCAACACCGGCAATAACCAAAGACACACACACATATTCAAAAAATAAGGATTTCCCAACACGTTCATTCATTTTGTCTGCTGTTTTTAGCTCATTCAAGACTTTAGGGAAATCCTTTGTTATTGGCTCCACTAGCTTTAGCTAAGAGCGCCAGTAATGCATACACACACACACATACATACGCAAACACACATTATGTGGTGTATCGTACTTAATATGCTCCTTCACACGGCTACTTATGCGAATTCAATTTAGCATAACTTAACGGTGCCTTATTACACTTCGCAGGTATCCTTTGCTGGCATCTCTAGCCACTTTCAAAAGCTTCTGCATCTGTGGCTGCGGTTACGCCAGCGCGTCAGCGGTCTTACATGCTCGAACTTACTACGAACGCTTGCTGCACTTTGTTTTGGCACGTTTCGCCTTTATAGTTCATTTACTTTTTGCGAGTTGCATTTTTTGTTTTATTTTAATATTTTCCTTTTTTTCTTTTTTTCTTGGAAAATGTTTCGCATGCCATTGTGGTTAAGGAAAATTGGATTTTAAGCGAAAGCGTTCGCCTTTTCGTTTTTTACTTTATTTGCTTTTGAAGATTGCTCGAAAAGGGTCAGTTGAAAATAATATTTAAAGCAATATGACTTGCTCGCGAGAAACTTTTGCTATAAAAATATGAAATTACATGTACGTTTTCTTTATTATAATATATAGTATATTATGTAATAATTTGTTCATAGTTCCAAAGTCATGCTATTATTTTGTTAGAAATTATTGTTTTTGAATCATTTTTAATTAACTGTTTTTTGTATATCTCTTGCAGATCGAAGACGAAGGTAACCATGGCAACGACGAAACTCGTCTATTTATTCTATCCTCTTTGGCCCAGTCCCAAATGAGTCGAGTTGCTTGTATTTTATGCGAAGAGCCAATGCTGGTTTTCGATCGCTATCCACTCGTTGATGGTTCGTTCTTTTTAAGTCCAAAACAACATTCAAACGGTTGCATTGAGGTAAGTGTCACATTATCTTTTACACATTTTTTCACATTACTATGAAAAAGTATATATTTTAATAACAATTTCTTAATAATAAAAAAAAAATTGGGGTTATAAAATCACATTAAAGGAGTACTCATTTAAAGTATTTAAGCAACTGAAATAATGGATAATATAGTTCACTTATACTTTTCATGATTTAACTAAAAATTATGTCGACCAACTTTTGTTCTTTATTTTAATATATTAACACTTAAAATATCATGTTTTACTTTTTATTTTGACCTTAACATTTTTTTTAATACAAATATTTAAATATATATATTTTTATACGCATTTTTTTGATTTGGTAAGCATGTTAAGTAGTGAATCGAACAAGCAACTGGTATAAGTCGCTCCAATTGGCGTAATAAAATACATATATAATAGTAAGCGGTTATAACACTTTTATGAGGTGTTCAAGTACCCTATTGTAATAAATTCAAATGTATGTATAATATTGTTATACCCTGAACAGAGTATATTAAGTTTACAATGAAGTTTTTAACACCCAGAAGGAAACGTTTGCGTGACAAACTGAGTCGATTTGGCCATGTCCGTTTGTCTGTCTGTATATACGTGAAATAGTCCCTCAGTTTTGGAAATATCCATTTGAAATTTAGCACACGTCTTTTTCTTCCCAAGAAGAAGAAGGTGGAACCGACAAGTGACCACCGATATCGGACCATTCCAGCATATATCTGCCATACATACTGACCGATCCAATTCAAGTTCTTGCATTGAAAACATTTTTATTTAAAAAAAATATCTTCACGAAATTTGGCATATATTATTTAGTATATGAAAAACTTAGACTAGTTTCCAGGACAACGCTACGATTTGCGAACATATTATGTTATTGTGATCGAATAAAAGACGAGAACTAGTGTCTTAAAGCATAATTCATTAATATCAATTAATTCCTATCTCCAAGAAATAATGAGTTCTGTCATTTTTTTCTATACTTACAAACATATACATTAGATTCTAATAGTTTATAGCTTTTGACCTTAAAATTTTAACGCATTCTCTGGTAAGCTGTATAAGATTCCGATAGGTGTAGGTAGTTGCACAGAGAATTATTCTAAACATAATTTATAATATCGTGTAATCGAGAGACACACATCAGTTCATATGCTATAATTATGGCATCTATTGTAGTTGAATATTGCAGAATTTTATATGCAAATTATTGCTACTAACAGTAATTTGTCAGAACTGTAGTAATTCTCACTTTTCTCACATGTATAAACATACTTAAAATTGTTGTAATTATTATTTTCTTTAACTTCTAATTAATGTGTTTGAGAACACTCTAGATTTGTACTCACTTCCTGCTTTCTCTTGGTTTCTACCCACTTCGTTGTCATTAAGTACGCTACTACCTTTTTCTAAACTGCCATCTCAATTCAACTCGACTTCTTACTTTATTTAAGTAGAACTTCCAACAACTGTTGACATTACTACAACAATAAAAGGAATATTTAAAGAAAATTCGGCACACCTTTCGCTGGCAAAGCCACCACGTAAGAGCGCTAAAAGCATGAAGAAGGGCATGCGTTTTTACAACTCTTTAGCTGTGTGTGGGCTGGTGTTGCAATTTTGTAGCCCCTTCAATTCGCAGTAATTACACAAATGCCACACTAATAATCTACATAAAAAGCTGGCATGATTGGAGGCCAAATGCACAGCCGGCATTGCATGACAGCGTCGCTGGATTGTGATGGAGTCGCGGTAAAAGTTGAGAGGCAACCATGGCGGTTGCTTGGCTGCATGGCGGACGTGCAGCTTCATGCAGCCACACGCATATAAAATGTGTACTCATGTGAAGATATTCTTAAAATCACATGCAACCAACAAGCCTCTTTTCTCTCTCTCTCCTCTTAGGCAGTAGGACGGACCATCGCAAAGACATGCAATCAGTCAGTTCACAATTTGTAGCCAACTTTCTTCACTCCCACACACAAACTGAAGCCTAAACTCTATACAGTTTCGACTCGCATCCGCACATATGTATACATACTTATATATATATGTACTTTTTGGGCAAAAGGTTTGCAACTCACAGCCAGTTGAGCTGGAGGCAGCCACATTTAAAGTTGCATGCCACAAACTGCCGCTAAACGTTGACTAATAACGATGGCCTTAACGCGGCTACCTTTCGCATAGACATATATATGTATTTGTGTATTTGTGTGTGGGTTTGCGTTCGGCTCGACGGTTGTGGGCGTAAATGTCTCTGCTGTTGTCGTTGCACTATTGCACCATTTGGCCATAAGGAAGTTTATGCCATGCATTATTTCAAATTAATATGTCTGGCTGTAGGAGTCGGTGTTAATGTGTGTGTGGCAGTAGCGGATGGACGGACGCCGCCCAGTGCATGGAAATGTCAGCATAAAGTAGAAAGTTTCGTTTGCAGTTTGGTACCGACTTGCCTTTCTTGCCACGGAGTCGGAGAGCTGTCAAAAACTTTTGTTACGTTTTGTCCGTTTCGTGCACTTTTTGAAGCTCGCTTTTATTATTTATACATTTCCTTGCATTTCTCCCCCATTAGCTCGTTTCTGTGTCCCATTTAGCTTGAAGATCATTGCATTTTTGCATGCATTAATCCTACCCAGATGTGGCTACCGGATAGTATACACTTTTTGCTTTTGAAAACAAAGCTGAGGCACAAAATACGCAAGTATATAATTTTAAAAAGAAGCTTCGGTTGCACCGAAGCTGTAATAACTTTCACAGGCACATTTATTATAGCATAAAAAAGTATAACAAGATCTTTATCTTGATTTGGATGGTCCGTTTGTATGACACCTATTTGCTATAATAGTCCGATCTGAACCTTTGTTCGGATATTGTAGCTCTGCCTCCAAACAATAATCGAAGCCTTCATCAAGATATCTAGTCATTAGAAATGTTTCTATACAAGGACTTGCTTTTGATTGATTAGTTTGTATGGCAGTTATATCTTATATTGGTCGGATATCGGTCATTGTGAAAAAATGAGCAAATTCTTGAGGACAAAAGGGCGTGTGCGAAATTTTAGATCAATATTTCAAATACTGAGGGACTAGTAATTAATTTTTTTTATACTTAATTTTTTTTATGATCCATAGTTTTTTATGTGCTATAATTTCCGAAAAATATTTTCTTCCATTAAATTTGAACCTTGTCCAGCTATTAAATCTTGAGATTTTCCATCATTTAAAATATGTTTTACACATTTTCTATTGCAACTGAATCAGCAGACTTGTATTTTTCTGATTGCACCTGAAGGTAGGCAATATTTTAATTATATTGGTTACTTTAAAAATACAGGTAGACATTGATTTTGAATAAAATTAAGCTCAACAGCTAGTAATGATTTGCAATAAGTTTTCATAGAAAACATGAAGAATATTTCTCAACAATGTTTTTATTATTTTTCCAATTTCTTTCCAGGTCAAGTATGAAGGAAGACCGTTGTTTTTAACTTGCGTTTGTATGGCTTGTTTGGACGGAACCTCTACCAATCGCGTCATTAACTGCAGGTAGGCTAAATCCGAAATTAACAAAAACAAAATTATAGTATTGCCACATTTTTGTAGCCTTTGCTTAATATTGCAACACATTCTACTTTCAGATTCTGCGGTGAAATTTGGGATGGCTCGAATCTAGTCCTGGGCACCATGTATTCATATGACATTTTTGCCGCCATGCCATGCTGTGCTGAACGTCTAAAGGTAGGTTGAGTCATTTATTTTTATATTAAGATTATATGGAAACATCCTTTCTGATAACCTTTGCGCGCCTTAACATGTCTAACCTCAAATAATATATTATCTATTTCTCTTCCATATTCTTGCAGTGCAATAATTGCTTCAAATTGCTCTTGCATCCGCAACAGCGGCTTAATTTCTATAGCGACTATTCGCATTGCGTCACCTGTCCTTATTGCGCCACGCAGGACACACATTTCGTCAAGCCGTTGAGTTTCTGCTACACTAAGAGCAACGTATCGCGCCACCAGTCCATCGCATAACATGAGGCCCCGTTGGAGACCACGGAAATGCTGGCGGCAGCAACAACAGCCACAACAACAACAGCAGCAGCAAATATTGCCAGCATTGCCGCTCCAACGGCGAACATTAGAAACACAAACAACAACAATGGTAACACCAACAACATGCAAACGAAGAAAATTGTACTCTATAATCCATCAGTGGATTACTCAGCACCGCTGCAACAACAAATCAATCCTGACATAATCGGTGCACATCCGCATGCACAACACTATCAGCAACAGTGCAGCAGCAGTAACGGTAGCAGCGTTCCGGGCAACACCATACACAATACAAATCAGGTAAGACAGCCACTACAACAACCGCAACAACAACAACAACAAACCCAGCAACAGCCACGCTTGTCCGCATTTGCGCCCGTGGCTGCTGCACGTCTGTCCTTGGCTGGCCTGGCAGCTGCCGCAGCACCAACCGCAAGCGCCCAAGCAAGCGCTGGCATTACGTCATCACAGCAGCAGCAGCAGCAGCAGCAACAACAACAACAGCTCCAGTTACAGCAACAAATGCTGGCAACACTAGCACTACCGTTAAGTAATTTGAATTTGAATAGTTTCACTAATGAAATGAGCCCGATTAAATCAGGCCTTGAACAACAACAAAATAATAATGTTAATAACAATCAGGTGGTAGGGCTGTTAGGACGCAATGTAGACGCCAATGTTTTACTAGCAAACAATAGTGTCGGTAGCAGTATTAGTAATTTATTAATTAGCAATAATTTAACAACGGCCGCAACAACAGCAGCAGCAGCAGCAACAACAACAAATGCAGTCGGCGTTGGAGACGGTGCAATGTCTTTATTGCCAGCCAACAGCAACTTAAATGCTTTGTGGGGTCAACCGCAGGTCGCATATAACCACGCAGTTGGCAACGCTGGCGCTGGCAATATCTTCAACAACCCCACCAACACCACCGATGCCATCTCAACGCTGTGGGGTTGCTCCTCTTCGTCCGCTTCGAGTGGCGCCTCGTCCACCAGCGGTTGCTCAAGCGGCTCCGGCTCGCAGCCATCGCTAAGTCCCACCTCCACCACATCCACGCGCCCAGATTATCGCTGTGGCGTCGGCAATGGCAAGGAGCCACTGTGGCCGTCGACACAACAAACTTCACCTAACAGCAGCAACACACTCAGGGATACTTATTACACCGCCACAAAGACGACTGGTGTAGCCATAACCGCAGCAAATGCGTTGGACGCCGGCATCAGCGGTGGCGCTAACAACAACACCGATAGCGTACAACAGTCAACATCACCCACATGCTCCTCCACCTCATCATCGGCCTCGTCGACTTGTTCGTCCGGCGTGGGCTCCAACGCTGGTCTCGATATCGGCACTTGGCCCAACTGCAAGTTACAAAACTATTTTGCCGTCGATAATTGCAACACCAACACCACTGACGATGTCGCGCACTTTGCCAAGATTAACAACATTTGGGATATACCAAGCGCAGCGGCCAATGCAAACACACGTACCGCAAATCTGTTCACCGATCTTTGGTGCAACAATGCCGACAACAGCGCTGCCACAGCTGGCACGCGCGTTAACAACAACACAAATGCCGAATTCGAGCTGGGCGCCGATACCATTGACTTCGGCGATGCCTCAAACATTTGGCGCACAAATATAACGGCCACCTCGTCAGCAGGTGGCAGCGCTAGCGCTGGTGCACGCGTACAGCCCAAGCCGCCAGCAGCAGCAACAATTGCTGGCAACAATAACAAAACAGTGCGTACAAATCTGGCAACCGATCTGGATAACGGCGCTGGTGTTGCAGCAGAGGCCGACGGCAACAGTGCGGCATGCATGCAATTGTTCTCCGAACAGTTTCTCAACTACATAAACATAATGAATTACACGGATTAAGTTCGTCTCGTTGGTGAATGACATAAATTTAGCGCAATTGTTTAAAAGTAAATAATTAAAGATGAAGAGAGAAATAAAATGTGGCTAGTGCAGCATGCGCACTGTAAAGTGCATAATTAAGAAAACTAACCAAACCAATTAATGTAAAAAAGAGAAAACCTAACAGAAAATACGAAGCCAGGCATAACCTAATGCTTGTTGCAACAAAAGTGTAAAAGCTGCGAGTTTTTATGCGTATTTTTTTCAATGCAATTGTGATCGTTTCGAGTGAAGAGAACTTTGATATAAACTGCAGTTATGATTGACAAAAACTGCAAACTATATAAGATGCGGAAAATATCTAATATATAATAGCATTGTTATTTAGTAAAAGAAATAATGATACTAACTTTTTTTTTGTAATATGAAGTAGTAACTGTTTACCATTAAACGAAGGCGAAAAAGTAGTACATTTAGTTTAGCTTATTTTTTTAGTTGTAATTTAATTTTCCACACAGTGGATAAATGTCTCCAGCGAAACATTTTGCATTTGCCACAGTAGCGGGGGATTAAAGAAATATTGGTGGGTCGAAAAAGATGAAAATAAAAGATATTGTTAGTTTATTTTATCATGCGTCAAGATAAATAAAATATAAAATAATTAATTTTCTACTACAATATAAAAAATTGCATTACTACATGACTACTTTTCCAATACTATGTAATTACGTTTCAATTACAGCATAGTTACTTTTTTATTAAAATATAATTTACAACAAAATTTGCACAGCTTGAGTCTTTTTCTATTACAATATTGTTACTTTTCCACTACCACATAACTACTCATTTAGTAATCACATAATATTTGTTAAACACCCGCAAAATGGTTAAGCGCAAAATGTTTCCCAGACTTGTAATAGAAAATTCATAATTTTTTGCGCTCAAAAAATTATTTCATTAGTTTTTAGTTAAATTCTGAGATATGTTTCTTCAATTAAAATTTATGTGAATTAATATATTTTTTTTTTAGTTAAATTCCGAAAACTGCAAATTCCGTCACTGAAAATGTGTGTACATTTATGTTTCTGTTAAAAAATAACTTTGTTGAATTTAATTTGAGTTTTATTTAAATCAATTTACTTTAATCCTACCTAATTTAATGCATTCAATTATAAAACTTAGTTTATTGACGGCTATAACATGCAGATTCTTAAAAATATGTGTGTTTGTGGCAACATTCTAATTTAAGCTATTAAAAAAAAAGTTTGCTTAGGATTTTTAAAAGAAAATTTACCAAATATTTTTGTTAGCATAAAAAAAGAATAACTTAAAAGAAATTATTACTACAAAACATCACTATTTTTGTGTTTTAATTAATTAATTAATTTTGTTTCGTAGCAAGTTATACGTAATTGATAAATTAGTGTTACTTTCCATTTATACTTAATTTAAAAATTAATTAAAAATTGCTGTGTTTTTCAATAAACATAAAAAACTACTTTTTGCAAATATGGATGAATAAATATTACATAATGTAAATGTGTATTTAGATGAGGGCAATTATCCTGAAAAAAGGAAGAATGTTAAGTGAATAAAACTCCCCAATTAGTTGTAAGCGCATAAGTAGCTATGCAAAATGATCTTTAGTTATGATTTGATTGTAACTCTTCATCATAACATCTTTACCTTAGATTGGTAATTATAATGTAGAACGACGCTCGCCACAAGGACGTTATATAAATAGTTTTGCACTACACGCAGCTTTGCAATTTCGCGCTTGGAGAGGTTGTGGTTTGGTTTTTTTAGCTTTGTATATGGTACAAAAAAATTTTGGCGCCGAAATGTATGCTATGCCGGGAGCAACTGACTTCAACGAGCAAGCATATTGGTGTTTCTATGTTTTCAACACAGAGTTTTCAGCAATTTTAATAATGTTCAGCTATAAAATTAAATACAATTAAAGAAGAAAAATTCTACGCCAGCAATCACCGTCGTTTAACAGTTGCAAATACGCCAGCTCACTGTAAATAGCATTCGTGTAATCCCTTTTATATATTGCATACCATATGCATTGGCGGTGCATGCACCACACTCACTTAATAGCGCAGCGTGATCATATTAGTTGTAAGATACCCCTGTCCCCCTTACCCACATGTTTCCCACAGTTGTTGTAAAGCTTAACTTTAAGCTATTAAGTATAAGTCTATTTCCAAAATTTAACGGTTTTTGTGAAGTTTTTCTTGTAAATGTTTAGATTTTAGCATTCAGTATCATAACCATAATATTAGTATTCGGTATAAAATTAAAGTAAAAACAAAAAAAAAATTAATAAATAACTGTGTTTGTCCCCAGGAAGTTTGAAACAACAATCGAAGTATATAAGGTACAGCCACATGTGATCTCTTTCAAAAGAAATGCTTACAGCATAGTTTTAGGCAGTCAGTGCACCCTAATGTGAGTTGTGTCATTGACACAGGCAATTATTGCCATTTGAACTTTGAATTGTTTCTCGTTTAATTTGATGTAGTTTTCTGTAAATAGAACAAGCCTACGTTTTTGTGCGTTGCGCTAAAAAGTAGGCAACACTTTTGACTCATCTCAACTGTGCATGGTAATTGTGATATTGCTTAGCTTGAAAAGTCACTCGTGTTATTCTGCCAAAGCGCACACACCGTTTCAACATTGTGATACGCAGTTGTTGTACTCTTTTTTGGGTTTCAAGCTTGTCTCTGCTTTCATTTGAGCGCGTGTGACGGTAAAAAAAATATTTTAAAATTATTTTTAAACAAATTGTTTAATCTTTCTTTCAAATAAACTTTTATACTTAATATATATATATATATTACATATAATTAATGTTACAAACGCACACAAAGAGCGGTTCGAAGTCACTTTAAATTTTGTATTTTGGAAATAAGTTGAATTTTTTGGATGCCAGAATTGATTTGAATTTTAGGAACAAAATTTGTCTGAGTTCTTTTCCTTCTTGGTTTGCATTTCAATTCATTTATTTATATTTTAAATAACAAAAACAAAAATTCTTATAATTTTAGTACTGCTATTTTTTATTTATAATGTATTTTATTTGTATATTTTGAAATAATTAAAATAAACAATTTTTTTTTGTTATCTTTATTTTATTTAAAAACAAATTAATAAAATATTAATACATTTGTTTTTTGGTTTTATTTAAAAATAAAATATTTAATTTTATTTAAAAAAAAAATTTCTTTAATTTTTTTTTTCATAATTTTCTTAAATTCTCTGTATTAGTAATCTTCAGTCGCTCTTTTTTAAACTCTTGAGTTTTTACCGCTCTGTTACTCTATATTGTGAAAATGCTTGTGAAATTAATTGTGAAACTCGTTCGAAACGAATATTTCGGATTAGGAAATAAAAAACAATGTTAAATCTGTGAAACAAAAATTTGAAGTGAAACTTTTATTATATGTGTATTATAAAAGTTGGTAATTTGCAACGGTGACTCGCGATTAGCTGAATATTTCTGAAATTTTTTCCTGCAACATGTTGCAAATAGTTTCTTGTTCTTACTATTTTTTCAAACTATTTACTCTTCAGGCACTCTCTTCATATAAACAAAAATTTATTCCTCTAATACTCCAAACCACAAATAAAGCAAAGTTTGCGATTTTCTAAGTGCCAAGCAATGTTGTACCACTGCAAATATGGAATTGCATTGCGCGCTGGTGCTTTACATTCAGGCGAATGCGTGCAAAATAGTCCTCAAAAGCGAAGTGCAAGTATTCCCTTTGTCCAAATGTCAAACCTATTTGTAGTTTTTAAATTTAATCCTCAATAAAATGTAAGTTTACCACATACACACACACACATGCAACAGTTAGATGTAATTAACCCTAAGGCAAACAACATTTAGCAATTTTAAGCAAATCCATGAACATTTTTTATAAGCAAATACTTATGCACACACACTGACACACATGCATGCATACAAACGCAAACATATGCATGTGTATGTGAATATAAGTCAGCCCATAATTCAGTTTAGCTATTTTCGTACATACCGAAAATAACTGTTTACAAATTTATTGGTTATGTTTTCACATTGTTTTTGTAACATAATTTTATTTTCGAGCACTGTGTTTGTTGTAAGTAATTAGCAGTTGAGTAAAAAAGTAGTGCAAGATATATAGTTATATAGCATACATTTTGTACATACATATATATATATATATACATACATATAAATACCTATATTAAGTGATAAGGAGTTGCGAGATGCTTTCGAGCTGTAAGAAATGCAAAATTTTATTATAATATACATTTTTTGTTTATGTAATTGAGTATCGAGCAGTGAAGCAACAAAAAGTAGCAGTGCAGAGAAGCGAAATTTTGTGGCGACACGTAGTAACGGTTTAAAGTTTGTAACTGTAACATGAAAATATTCTTACCCACCATTACCACCAATTGCATAATAACTAAAAATTAAATAAAAAACTTAAACAAAATAAAAGTAGACAAGTGAAGCGAGAACTTGATGGACAGACAATGCTACATACATACATACGTATAGTATATAAATAATTAAATTTTTAATACAGATATAAACTAGTAAATATAATTCTCCTTTTATGACAGAAAGTTATCGATTAATTTCTACTCATACATCGGTGACACCGAGAATATTTGCAATAAATAACTAACCGTATAAATGAATTACAACAACAACATGCATATAGTGAAAGTTAAATAGCAAGTATGCAAAACTAAGTAAATTTCAATACAATAGTTAAACTTTACCATAGTGCAAGTACATAAAGCATATAAACTAAAATAAAAAGTAATCATAATTAAATAAAGAAGAATTTTCTATTGATAATATTACCTCTTAGCAAAAGTTTAATGAAATCTAAAACCAGTAACCTTTAATAAAAATGTTGGTATTTCATGAATAACGGCATAATAAGTTAGTCAACTGCAATTTCACATATATGTAAAAAACAGAAAAAAATTTAAATTAAATAGTAAATAATATTGCAATAATGCAGCACACAAACAACAAAACATACCGACGTCATTGAGTTGTTATAACCCTATTTACTAACCTAACTTTTTTGATATTCGGTTAGTTCAGCACAATCTCACACGTGAATTCCTTGAAATTGTATTCCAAAATGTTTAAAGAAAGATGCTTCTCATAACTCACACTATAAATACACCACATTACATACTAGATATTTAAAATAGCGTTCTTTAAAGAAAAATGTTGAAGTGCATTTTTTTTGTGTAATTTTTTTTTAATTCAAAAACAAAAAGTATTTAATTTAATGCGCGTCTGAAATCTTTATTTTTTATTATTAATTTATTTTTTTCTAAATTGCCAAAGAATATTTTTGTTTGTCAGTTTTTATAACAAAAAAAATTACTTTAAATACGTATTCGAAAAAGCTCGCGCTCGGTTGGTCTTTTTTTTTTTGTTTTTTTGCAAACAAAATTCAAGCTTATATAATTAGTTAAAATTAGTACGTCTTCATGGGACATAGTTTGGTTCTTTATATACTTAGTTTGTTTCTCAATTACAACTACTTTATGTTTAGTATGCTAATTTTTAGCATTG